AATGATGTTCCAAAAAAAGTTTCGTAAAGAAAAAACGTTCCTGTAGTGTTTTATTTAGCATTTTGTAAATCCCATTGAGTTCTGTAGGAATAGTCAATATTCCGCTGCCACCGGAAACGGAAATGGGGCCTGTTTACACAGTTGTAGTCTTTTCGCTTCACTCTGTGTACTCCGACGTCGAGGTGCTAACGTCTCTGTTAAACACTTTAAAAAAACTCTGAAAATGGAATACGAAAGGTGGATTCTTGATTCTCGACGTCGGAGTACACAGAGTGAAGCGAAAAGACTACAACTGTGTAAACAGGCCCCATTTCCGTTTCCGGTGGCAGGGGAATATTGACTATTCCAACAGAACTCAATGGGATTTACAAAATGCTAAATAAAACACTACAGGAACGTTTATTCTTTACGAAACTTTTTTTGGAACGTCATTGAACAGCGCTGACGACCCGGTGAGTAGCATATTTTAAAAAAAGAACGTTTAAGGTTGTTTTAAGGACATTATCGGACATGCTCTATGCAAGCCATTCTAAAGCAGCCAGGGGGGGATTCTAAATGAGCCAAAAAGCAGAGACAGGAGCAATTGTCAAACTTTTGGTGTCGATCATTCGATTTCATCCTGGACACTACAGAAAATGGGCTTAAAGTATAAAAAACCAAACTTCTCCTTTAAGAGTTTTTCTTTAAGTTTTCCATAAATCAATGAAGCATATGATGCCCACAGTGATTCAAATTGTTACTTTGAACAAAAACCTTATTAAAGGATGAAGATTAGGAGACGATTAACAACATACTCATTAAAGGAACAGAAAAAGACACTGCAGGGTAATTGATGCAAAAAATTAGCTATCAAAACAAAACAACTTAGGAAAAATCTAACCTTAAAATGTCTGTGGATGGATGAGCGAAAAATATGAACAGGGAATTAAGAACAACATTTTATAGATCTTGAAATCTTGAAAATAAATCCAATTTATTATTGACTTTTCATTGTTTTTTAAAGTTTATAAGTAATCAAAAACACTTCTGCCTACTTAATTTTTTTCTTTTGTGAAGGGTTCCTCAGGGCTCGATTCTTGGTCCTATTCTTTTTTCTTTATAGCAGCCCTTTCTGCGGTCTTTGAAAATATGGCACCTCCTCCCATTTTACACAGAAGTTGTGAGATTTTGTCTATGTTGTATTTCTGTTTGTATTTTAACTGGTGTGTCGTCTTGGCCAGGTCTCCCTCGAAAAAGAGATTTCAATCTCAAGGGACCTCCTGGTTAAATAAAGGTTAAATAAAATAAATAAATAGAAACCTGACAGATATGTGTTCTAATATAATCCACATTCAAGCCCTTAGAATTTTCCCCAGTAATTAATTTTTTTTATTTTTAAAAAGAGCTAAGCACACTTTAATATATGTGGGCCAAGCATTACCTCATTTAACACACCACATTTCTCCTGCCTTGTGTTACACATAAAAAAAAGGCTGGTAATCAATAAAGAATTCGTTGTAAACTCATATTTTGAATATAAAGGCCTTTTTCTTTTGTCCTTCTCAGGCCCTTAGATCAGACGACCAGATGTTCTTATTTATATGAAAACTAGGCAGAAGCTTTTTCTGTTGTGGCTCCTAAAAGTTAGAATATGCTGCTTTAAATAAGGGACAGGCTCCTTTCTGTTTTTTAAAGTCCCTTTTAAAGACATTTTTTTTCAATACCATTTGGCCTCGGTGTTCATTAACGTGAGTCTCTGTTCTATATTATGTTTTTTATTATTTGTCTTTTAGTGGTTTTATCTCTAATTTTTTTATGTGTAGTTTGTCAACCTGGTCGCTCTGAAAACTGAAGGTTGTGATCTTGCCCTCAAGGTTACAGAGATCTAGGATGTTTTTTTTTCCTTTGTCGTTGTTGTTATATGCGCTACTTGAGCTTAGCCTCGATTAAAAAAGCTGTATATATTGGATGAATCGGTGGGGCTTTCATGTGATCTGTGAGAGAGAAGTATCGTCGGTTCTGGTGCTGTACAGCGCTAAGTGAATATCTGTCATTTGGCACTAAGCAGTATTACTTTTCCTATCCCTGTAAGTAAGGTTAATGAGTACTTCTTGGTCAGATAAAGACATGTAAACATTGTTGCTTCATCTAGTTAAACTTCAGACCCAGGATCATTGATATATATTACTGAACAGTATAGTTATTAACCTGTGCACCCAATGAAAACCCATTGCTATGCATTGACTCATTGCTTGTTTCTTATCCCTTTTGTTTTGTTATTTTTTTAATGAGAAAACTACACATTATGATACATAGAAATATGTGCTCTTTCTAAACTTAAATCCAAAATAATTGACAGATCTGTGCATTGTAGTGTTAATGAATGCAGCAAGCTATGTCACAAAGATGCTCTCAGTGGATTTTTAGAGCTAAAGTTTCCTAGCGTCAATATAATCCAGGTTGATGGTTTATGACTTTGATGGCAAAAGGGCAAAATGTAAAAGAAACGCAAGCATATCATATCAAGCACAACTAGTTTAAAAGAAATTTGTTTAATGCTGAAATATCAGGGGTTACGGTATTGTGGTAATGTGATTCTCATAAATTTAATAATAAATAACTAATTATAAATATTCAAATCCATTTAATTTAAACGATTCAATATAGTATTCATATTCTAACATTTTTAATGGCATATATCTGTATATCTCTTAATTTGAGAGTCATTTCATGTCATTTGGGTTTAATTATGTTAAAGTCAAACTTTCAAAGCCATAAGTAATTCTTCTTACAAAAATGTATTAGCCTTAGAGTTAGGGTGTGTCCATATTTGCTGCTATAGGCTTAGGCTGCTGGAGGACTGGGGGGCCACTTTTTATCGTTCTCGCTCATTATATCTCTATTCACCAATTCTGCAGTAGCTCAATCTGACCTGTTCCTGTTTGGCTGTGACACCATTCTGGAGGGAGACATCAGCTGGGCTGCTGCCATCAACAACATCTGTTATAGATCATAGAATACTTAGTTTTGTTACTCTCTAAGACGGAGGTCTTCAACAGGAGTCCATAGAGGTACTGTATGGGGGTCGCGAAAGTTTTGGTTGATTAGACTTTTTTTTTATATTCTCCCCTGCAAATGTTTCCACTAATTGAAATGTCTTTAAATACACATTAACATGAATTCAACACACTGTAGTTAACAGATAAATGGAGGCAGAAGATGTCTTTCAGTCATCAATGCACAAATTCAGCGACACACAGGAGCTCTTTCAAGCTGGGCACCATTTAATTCACAATACCTGTCCCGTCTAAGAGGAATCAGAATTAGAAATACTTTAATAATCCCAGGGTGAAATTACTTTCATTAAATTACTCCATCAGTAACAGAGTGACTACAGAACCAGTTTGATATAACACAATTTCATACAATATATATAATTAGGGGGTCCCGCTCCATCTCGCCATCAGTTTGGGGGTCCTTGGCCTAGAAAACATTGAATACCCCTGCTCCAACACATTGTTATGGATGTATTTGCTTTTACTGTTACTAACTCGATGTACTCCCTTTCATCCTTTTTGGCTTGAAAAGTGGACCAGAGCTTTTTTAACTGTCTCTTTCTAGACAGAGTCGCTTATTGAGCTATTTTATAATTTTTCTTTTTTTTTTTTTTTTTATAGAAATTATTTATGGATCAGTGCTAATGTGTTACTATTTCTGCTTCTGTCTTCTTCCTTTAAAATTTAGTTTTTTCTCTCCACAGTCACTGCATGCATGCTCAGTTTGAGGGGTTGCTGAAGAGTCAGTGACTAAATGCAAGAAAACATCTGCGGTTGTCACATTCTCATCAAGGAGGAGCAAATCCTAGAATGTGCACAACTCAATGCAATCAGCTGGGTTTCCGCAGACAGAAAACGTTTAACCAATCTGTCTGCATGATCTGATTAAATATTCTTTTTAAGGCATCTTAAGGGTATAGTGTGGTTAATTGCTTTATGTCCCATAAAGCAATATACTTAATACATGCCTAATACTGCTTTATTGAAAGGATCATAGTTATCAGTATTTAGTTACTGATAAACAGGAGAGGAAAACTAAAAATAATCTTGAGTTACACTTTTTCTTTAATATTCTTTTCACGTTTTTGCTATAAAACAACAAATTTATTTCCTATAGTGGGTTGTCAGTTATAGTTTCAGTAAGATGGTTCTCTGCTAACACCAGCATCATTCACTCTTTAAAAAAGGCAGTTTATTCATACTTAAATGATTTTCAAATAATTAATCCTGAATGGAAATAACAGCAGAGTCTATTAAAACCATTGCTAGGCTTTTCTTTGAATGCAATATCAGCTTTATTATTTTTTTATGCAGAGAACTGCTACATCATAAAAACTATTTTTGGTGTAACCTGCTAAGAATAATATATCCTTTCATTTGTGAGATTTTAAAGCAAAAATCGATGATTATTTTTCTGCCTGGTGGGTAAGATCAGGCCTAAACTAGGGATTTGAAAGTAATAAAACAAAGTTGCTCTGACGTTGAACTTTTCCATATTTGTCTTTCAGCACAGTACTGTGTCTTTAAAGCTGGATGGGAAAATAAAGCAATGTTATATCTTTCAAATATAAGAAGGAAAGAAAGTAATAGAAGAAAGACGGAAATATAATACAAAAAAAAATATTTTTGGAGGTGAAACAAACCAAAGAAAACAGGAAATGTATTTGCTGAAAGTTCTTAGCCACTTGTAATTCTACAATAGCAGGAACCACATCCTTCTCTGTTTGGTCACCCATCTGTAAGAGTAAAACCCACAGATTAAGGGAGCATCTCCTTTAGGATACTTATTTTAAGATAAGATTTATCAAAACCAGATAAAGGCACCACAGCAGAGTCGTTTAGGATTAAAGCTCAAAAAAGGACAGAGATGTGTTGAAATGAGACACAGAAGGAATCAAGAATATCTGAACCACAGTTTACTGTGTCGGCTTTTCTGAAGCCGCAGCAGCGGGATGTAAATCTTACCAGGCCGTTACAGTTGCTCAGGGCCACTTTGCTGGAGTGAGGCTGGTCCTGCAGGTGGCCTGTGTAGTGACAATGAGGAGAGTACGGGTGACTCCAGGCTAATTGGCCCCTCTTCCAGTACTCCACCCTGAACTGGCGAGACAACAGGCCTCCCTGCAGCGTCAGGTTCAGCAGGAAGTTGTTCTGTGATGTGGACAGCTGATAGAAGAGCTAAACGATGAAGAAAAGGAAGACGTGTGAGGCGTTAACGCCTTGATTAGTCTGAAACAGACTGATAATATCTCAATGTAGAGTCTGAAAGCCTTAATACAGAGTCAGGCAGCCTGTCTTCAGTGCTTCGCCGTCTTCTTTGGTGGTATTTCGTCCTCTCTGTGTCCAGCATTTCGCCATATGGTCCTACACGCACAGGGATGGCGATCTCATACTGGTCTAGGCTGGACAGGAAAGCAGCTGTAGAGGCATAAAGTTTAAAGTTAAACAAAGAAGTCCAGCTTAACCAGACTGTCTCATATTAAAACCAATGAATGATTCTTATTATTGCAGTAAGCCTTTGGGGAGAGGCTTACCCCGGTGGTAGGAGAGAACGGAGCCATTGGTTCTTTACTTACTACAACCACCAGGCCAAATGGGGGTTGCAATGGCTGCCTTGAAATGTATTTCTATGGGCTGCTGGAGATCACTGTTATTTTCCAAGTCAGTGAGGGGCTGTTGCTCAGAGAGCAGAATTCGTTATGATCACTTTGACATACGTGGATTAAGCAAAATACCAATTAGGACATGAATGTGATAAAGGAATATTATTATAAGACAGCCTTAAAAGCTTTTAAAGGTAAAAAAAAATTCTTAATTTTTTTTTTTTTAATTTGGTATTTGTCTTTTTGTCATTTATCATCTATTGAATGAAAAAAAACTTACATTTTAAATAAGTTAAATTAGGGAAGTTATTTGTATCACTGGTGATAAATTAAGCATTTTTAAGCTATTTATTATATGTTTTCTGTTGACCACACTCTCTGTCTGATTATATAAGTAATGCTTTTGAAGAACAAAAATGTCATACTGATAACTTAGAGGTATCGAAAACCCATGTATTAGGTAATACGCCGTTATTAAAGTGTTAGAAGCCTAAAAAAGCTGGACATGCATGATGTAGGCCCTTAAAAGTTTACTTTTGTATATCTGTCCAGAACTCTACCATTCTCTTAATGTAGTCGTTCGTTCAACAATGTTCTTTAACTACCTTCTAAAGCTCTCTAAACAGCTGTGTTTACAGATAAGGTAATTTCTGAGAGGAATTGGGTGACCTGGATTTTATCCAGGGGTATCAGAATAAACGGGGCTAATTATAAATGCATGCATCACATTTGACCTTTCTTCATTTGCGGAATAATTCTTCCAATTCACAATTATGTTTTTCTTTGTGTTTTCCAATTACATTATATCTACACTGAGTCAGTTAATGTCATGATCTGGCCTGTTTGCTCTCCCTTCATTAGTCATTCCTTTCACCTGTCATTTTCCCTCCCTGCCTCAATTATAATTTATTCCTCTCACCTGTTTCCTCTTGGTTATATTCAGTTCAGCCTGAGCATTCAGGGCCAGATCATTACTTGCCTTTCTGTTAGCCTGTCCGTTCAGTTTTTGCCCTGGTTCATGTCCTGGATCCTGGCAGCCAGTGGAGAGAGGGTTTTTGTGTTTGTCTCGTCTCCTGATCATCCACTGTTCCTCCCCCGCGGAGTCCTCTGGGGTTTTGGCTCTATATGTGGGGAGGTTAAGTTTTTATCTCAGTAAGCCTGGCTCCAGGGAGGAGACCAGTTTAAAGTCCTGCATCAAGTTCTGGTTCCACGTCCTATCTAGGCTACCCTCTTCCACTGAGCCTGCTCAGCTGCACCTGATCCTGTCTGCTCCTGCGCGTGACCATCTGGTCACGCTTTCGGACACTGTCAGACTCTGAACCCTCATGGGAGCTTGTGGATGCCTGGAAGTCTGGATCCTGCCACCTGTTCTGTTCCTGCCTGATCTGGATCCTGTTCCGTTTTGTTCCTGTCTGTTCTGGATCCCTGACCAGGATCGGTTTCCAGCATGTCCTATGGGACTGCAGCACTTAGGGACATTCTTGGACTGTACTTTTAAACCAGAGTGTCTGTGATTGGCCGGTGCCCCGCTACCCATCCTGCAGTGTCCGCGAGCCACAGCTCCACTTTAGTTTTTGTTGTATTTAATAAACGTTTTGAACTTTCCTACTGACTGTCTCTCCTTGAATACTGGTTCCATCTGTCCTCGGTTCATGACAGTTTATATGACTCAGTAATTTAGTAAATAAAGTAAGACACAAACTTGCATGTCTTTACACCATCAAGTATTGGATTTTGTAATATTTTTATGCATTCAATGTTTTATTTTTGGCTTGTTTAAACTATTTTCAAAGCTCTGTGTTAAAAGCAAACGACTATCACAATACAGCTATTAATAATGACGTATCTTTGGCCAATCAGGAAGCCTATTTGATCAATGACTGTCATGTTCTTATTATGATGGTCTATAAAAATGTCTTTTTCATATCTCAAAGGCTTTTTGGCTGCTAAGCGACCCTTTGGTTCCTCTGAGAACTAAAAGATCAGTAACATGTGGAGCATCAACTTGGAAGCATATGGCAACTTTATGCAAAACTGCTTTGGCACAAAACAAAGGGTTATCTCTGCACAACAACTTTTTTCACTGTTAAACTAAAAACTCAACATCCACTGCCATCATTTGAAAATAAACAGCAATAGTTTCCTCTGGTTGCTGTGATTGGTAGGTTTGTATCTGGTGTTTATGGGTGAGCAATATCTAGTGTTTGTTTTCTTTGCTTTGTATTTGCATTTTAAATCTTGTGTGTTTTTTGTAATAATGACTGTAACTAAACATACAGCAAATTTTTCTTAGAATAAAATTGGCTTAGTGATAAGTGTGGGTACCAAACATTTGTCTAAAAAAAATGACTGCATATCATTTTGCATGTCAGGAAGTACAAGTAAGTAAGCTGGTAAAAATTAAAGTGAGTTAGTAAATTGCAAAGCAAAAGTGTCAGAAAGTCAAACAAAGAAGAAGGTAAGAAAGCAAATGTAAGAACAATAATAGACAAAGTAAAAGTATGAAAGCTAAAGCAAAGACAAGTTGTTTAAAAATGAAAGAAAACATGTTTTAGAAAATAAAATAGAACTATTAAAGGTAATCAGAAAAGACAGACTAAAATAGAATTGAATAGAAATCCCTTTTATTGACCACCAGTGGGAACATTTAGATAAATCAGAAAGTAGAAGCAGAACATAAAAAAATAACAGGAAAAGACAGTAAGAAACTGTATAGAGCGGAACAATTACCATGACAAAAACTACAGTACAAATACTAGGAAAAACACACAAAGACTAAAAAATTATCAACTTCAAAAGTTTTAAAAAGAAAACTCAGTATTCACCAGGGATGTAAACACTATCTATCTTCTTACGAAATGAAAAATTGTCAAAATAAGGACACAAAAAGTAAGCAAAAAGTAGTAAGACAGCTAAAGCAGATATGGCGATTATTAAAAGTACACAAGCAACAATAAAGTGAGCAAAAAAATTACAAAAAGGCAAAAGCAAAAGAAGTAAGAAAGTCATTAAAGGTGAGTAAGAAGATGCAGGTCAATAATATAAATTCAACTCTAATATTACAATCTTAGGGTTCTGGGTCTTTTATCCTTGTGATGTTTATTTAACTGTGATTTAAAGCACCTGAGAGCTAAAAGTCCCTCTGAGGTGTAAGCGTCCCACACAGACACAGCGGTCCACAACGCATCACAACTGCTGGCAAAAAAAACACTACAGCTAAGCACACAGGTGGTATCAGCATTATCTCTGAAGCACAGGAAAAGCTCCTGCAGAGAAAATAACAGGGGCTGTTTTATTATAATAGATAAAAGCCCTGAAAATTACTCAGACCTCACACAGAACGGCGAGACCACCAGCACAAATTAGTCTACTGTGTGAATATCGCATCACTTTTTTTTTCTCCACAGGATTCCTGGAAACTTCCTCTGAATCCCAAACAGTCTGTCCAGACCACCAGCACCTATGCATGTCCATCCCTTTAATAACTTTCAACCAAATTATTTCAATAATGATACATGACACATTTCAAATTGCAAAAACACTTTAATAGAAACACTGAGGTCATCTCTGGTTTACTCTAGTTAGAGTCATAAAACACAGGTGCTGGAAACAAACCTGTTAATATCAACTAACTTTGATGATGTTAACCTGGAGCAGTTTAGATCTCTCTCGACCTGGTTCTAGTTGAAGCTGTCGGTTTAATGAAAGGCAATCATAGATTTAGATTTAAACTGTTACTGGGGACATATGGAGATAAATTGGTTCCAATATTATAAGTAGAGAACACTTATAAAAAAGGAACTTAAAGAAAATAAAAAAATAAATAAAAGTTAAGAAAAATTCTCAATCAGCGAGTCTTTCAGAATTTCCTTTTTTTCCTGATTGTAAATATTTTTTTTCCACACTTTTTATTTCTTAATGTTATTTTTCCAGTTTTTGTGGAGAAAACCGGTTTTATCAACATAAATCTTATTTTTACCCATTTTTCCAACACTTTTGGATGTAACAGAATTCGAATTATTGTCTTTGAAAAACCAAGGGAAATTATTCTGCTCTGAGTGGACGTTAGCAACAGCATTTCTATTGGTCGACACACGGACCACCCAGAAGTGAATAGAGTGAGATCTGGAGAACAGGATATAAAGGCTGAATCCCAAATTAACCCCTAAGCACTAACAATTCACTATCAAGTGTCACTCCCAGTGAAGTCACACTCGCAGCTGTGGAAGCGCCTTGATTGAAAGTGGGGGGGTAAGCATTCGTTGCTATGACAACACTGCGACGCCCTATGTGCGTGGCTGTAGCTCTTTGGCGCAGGTTAACATAACATTAAACATTTACCCCTTTCTTAAAAAATATATATATACCATCAAATAAACTATTTCAAAGAGGATCTTGCCTTTTGGAATTAATTACGTTTTTTTCATAAACTCACTTGGAATTTTTTTATCAGTGTGACGAAGATGAAGCAAACCAGAGGAGTTTGCTTTTGGCGGAACGCGTCTACTCCGCCAACAGGCTGCTGTTACACTTGCTACCAAATGCCAGCAAGCCAGCAACTGATGCAGACGCGCTATTAAATGGGTATTTTTGGCCCTCCCCACTATGTGGTTTGGGACGGCACTTAATGTGGCGGACCCTCAGCGTGAAGGCGCAAACGGAGGGTTAGTGCTTCGGGTTAGTGCTTCGGGTCCGGTTTGGGATTGGGCTGAAAAGATTGGAAGATCCAAGTCTTTCAAAGAAAAAACATAATCTGACAACAACAAAAAAATTGGGGGAAAAAAGTAGAAAAACAATGCAATGAAAAGTAAAAAT